ACACACACACACACTTGCATGCCACTGCACAAGAAAAGAGGTCAGACGACAACTTGCTAGCGTCAGCTTCCTCTTTCTACATGTAGGTGCTGGGAACTGAACCTAGGCAGTTGGCAAGCACTTTTGCATGCTGGACCATCTTACCAGATTCTATGGATCTTTATTCTGAGTGGCCAGTTGGAATTAAATCTCACTTAGTATAGAACAAAGAAGAGATATTTGAAGAAAACACCCATTTTGTCAACAAGGCCAGTGACACAGGCTGCCTCCACCACATCCCTCTCCACGCCCAGGATGCAACTCCAAATTGAAATGTTCCTATAAACTGAGGGCGGGGAAAGGCTGAAAGAGGGTTTGCTTTTGTGTGAGTGAGTGCCGAGTAAGCTCAGCAGAAGCCAGGACTCAACCTTGTAAGACATACAGGGCAATTCTCTTTCAAGCTTTCCCTTTACCTCTGAAACTCCAGTCTTGTGTTGCGAGTGACTTCATGACTTCCGCAAAGGGGTGTCTGATTCATCTCGGCTCTACAAATAAGGACTACAGGACTCAGAGATGTCAAGGAAGTAGACAGAGATCACACAGCTAGGCACACAGTGTCCTTTGCACTCTTCCTCTCTAGCTCTTGCTTTCTCCTCTTTTTTTGTGATTGACAGGACAAACCTCACCTCCCACATCGGCATGTGGGCTGTTCCTGAGCCAGGGCTGCTGGGATGCAGCCAAGGCCAGTGTCTCCAGGTCCCCAGGGCCTCTTGGACCACAGCAGGAGACTCATCTCCTTGCAGCAGCCAAGCTTGGCTCCCCCAGCTCTCAGCACAACTCACAGGAGGGAAAAAGGCTGTAAACACCAAATATAACCACTTGAGGAGCCGGTGCAGACAGCGCTGCAGACAGCCAGTTATGTAACAGCTGCTGAGATTTCGAAGAAGCCATGAGGCTCAGCGCAAGGATGGCTTCCCTAAAAACTCATTCACTCTTCATCCACTCCTTGGTCACACACTTGTCCTGCCTGCCCCAGGGACCCACCCAGCATCACAGTGCAGTCCTTAGGCATGTGAGGCAGGAGACAGGTAGCCACCTTTGTGAGGAAGCTGTCAGGAAAAAATTAGGTTAGAGAAGGCAAGAGTAAATGGGGGTGATTTTAGAGCGGGAGGGAGTGGCTTAAGCAGGTTAGGGACAGAAAAGTTCATCAGTGTGAGTCCTAACAGAGAGCAAGGAAGTGCACGCCTTTAATTCCAGCACTCAGGGCAGATCTCTGTGAGTTCGAGGCCAGCCTGTTATAAAGGGAGTTCCAGGACAGGCTCCAAAGCTGCAGAGAAACCCTGTCTTGAAGAGAGAGAGAGACAGAGAGAGAGAGAGAGAGAGAGAGAGAGAGAGAGAGAGAGAGAACACATAAGGGAAGGAGCTGCACAGGCTGGGGACAGCCCTGCCAGGGACAGCAGCAGAACGTGCAAGACCCTGGGATAGGACTGTTCTGGCACTAAAGAGGCCCATTGGAGATGCACAGCCAAGAAGTTCTGCAGACTCCTGCCCCCTCACTCTCAGGGCTGGGACAGAATGGAATGTGGCCTCATGTGACCCAGGTGAAAACCAGGAAAGCTGCTCCAGTGACCCCTCAGAAGATCCTGAGCTATCCCTGGGTCTCTCAGCTCACGTCTGGAATCCCAGCACTTAGAAGGTTGAGGCCTGGGTTAAACAGGGGGTTAGAGATACTGAGGCCCTAGTTCCAAAATCAAAACAAAAATAACAACTCCAGATACCTTCTGGAGCCCAGAGTGTGAAAGACTTAGGGCGAGAGACAGCACCTGCTAATGGCTTGGATGAGAGAAGGGACAATGGGACCAAGAAGCCCTCCAGGTGGATACAGTCCAGTGGATGGTCAGTGGGAAATGGCACCTACATCCCAGCCTTGGTTCCAGAAGAGGCCCCTTTACACCAATTGTCCCCTCTGCCTAGAGCACCCTTCCTTCTGGTCACACATGGCTGGCACCTTTCTGGCCTCCAGCTTTCCCTGGCTGGCCACCCAGCCCTTCCTCTACCCTCAGTGTTTGATTCTCCTCCTGCATTCTCTGGAATGGGGTCAGATTCACATAGAAATGACTGGTAAGCTTGATGTGTAAGATACACATCACAGGAACTGTGCTGCTGGTTATTTCCCCATCCTAAAGGGGTCCTGGCCTGGAAAGATACTCAGCAAAACAGAAAGACTGGAAAATTCCTCTGATCGTCTGCTAGGTGTTTTGATTTCTTCCACAGGGAAGGGTAGGGGAGAGGGAGAGAGGAAAATGGAATAATTCATAGAAAAATTAAAATCTGAAGACGAAGTGGGGCGTGCATTTGCATAAAGACTAGCTTCTGATTCTTAATGTCGCCCACCTCCACAGTGAAGGTGGCAGCCACCCAGGCAGGGCCGGAAGTGGATCAGCCAGCCATGTGCATGTCATAGGGGAATCAGACCCCTCCCAAGGTATCCTCAACCTTGGCAGTCTTGAGCTCGCCATTTATGCACAGCTAAGTTCAACCTTGAACACCTTCCCGGCTCCCTCCTCCTCATCCATCCAGGGTAGGAAAGCTAAATTGCTGATTTTCCAAGACTCCCCTACAGATCTATTTCTGGACCAGAGATTATCTGGGGACCCCCAAGAGTGCAGATACCTGATCATGTCCCACCTCTCCTTGCTTTAAGCAAAGCCCACAAGACTAGAACCACAGTTGTCACCCTATAATCCTGGGAAGGCCTAAAGACTCAAGAGAGATACGTGCCTGGTCCTCAGATGGTGGAGGGCCTAGCATACACAGACCCTGAATTCTGTCCCCAGTGCCACACAAAACTAAGCATAGAGGCAGGAGGATCAGGAATTTGAGGTAGCCCCCAGCTACATAGAAGCCAGCCTGAGCTACATGAGACCCATCTCAAACACACACAGCTAACCCTGGCCTGACTCCTTCAAAGCATTTGTGTTCAGGCAGTCAAAATCATGATTAATGGAGGGATGTAACAAGACATCACCCTAGCAATGACCTGAGATTTCTGACTGTACTGGTTGGCTCTACCCCAGCCTGTAGGATGAAAGCCAAGCCCAGAACTCTTGTATGGCTCCGCCTTGCAGAAGGTTGGCTAAAAATAAACCCAGGGTCTGAAGACAGAACATCTAAAATGATACTGTCACTTTGACAGAGTGGCCAACGGAGCCACCATGAACAGTAGCCATCCATCACGGACCTCTGCCTTCCATGTGGGGAGCTGAGACACCAGGACAGAAGAAGACAGGTAGGTGGGAAAAGATGGGAATAGCTGCCTAGCCAGAAATCCCAGCTTAGAGCTCCCAAACCCATAGTGCCCCAGCACCCCATCAGTCCCCAGATTGCTATCACGAAATCAGTCAGAGGTACTGACCCCCAAATTCAATTTGCAAGATCAACCTCAGGAAAGTAGACCATTATAGAATTGTCACACCCTGGGTCCCTGCTGAGTCAGGATAAGAAAGCAATGAATTATGGGATATAGACTTTGCAAGACCCTGGATTCCCACAGAGGTGACTGAGGCACAGCTGGGTAATTTGGCTCAGTGGTAAAGGGCATTGGCTGCTTTTGCAAAGGACCCAAGTTCAGTTCCCAGCACCTACAATGGTGGCTCAGAACCATCCCGAACACCAGCCAAGGGATTTGATGCCCTCTTCTGGCCTCCGTGGGCACTGCATGCTTATGATGCTCATCTATACATGCAGGCAAAGCATTCATACACATAAAATAAAATTAAGTCTCTTTTTAAACTGGGCTGGCATATAACTCAGTGGCATAGCACTGGTCTAGCACATAAGGCCCCAAGTTCCATCCCCTATACCATCAAAATAAATAAATGAAACAAAAAAAGGGGAACTGAAAGAAAGACCCATAAACACATCCATGGTAGGAACATAAAATTTTGTACATCCCTAGAAATCACACAGGGAGACTGACCCAGAGCTGCCCCCTCCTCTGGGAACCTGTGATACATGGGGTTGGGGAATCAGATGCTCACTCACAGATGGCAAAGGATGACCAGGGCAACAGCCACCAAGGCTTTACAGATGGCAGAGAGGTGCTAGCCAAGAAAGGAGACACCTCTAATGACAGGGACAGGCTGGGAAGGGGGCTCTTCCAGAAGCTGTAGGAGTCAACCCTGTGTGCATTGATGGGGCCACCTCAGGCTCTGACCTCTGAGCCAGGAGCCACTGGTGGCTTCAAGCCTGTCACAATGACCCATGGGAAACTGCAAAAGGCCCTTTTAGGCCTGATGGTGGTGACACATGCCTTTAATCCTAGCACTCAGGAGGCAGAGGCACATGAATCTCTGTGAGTTCAAGGCCAGCCTGGTCTACAGCGCGAGTTCCAGGACAGCTAACACTATTACACAGAGAAACCCATCTTGAAAAACAAACACAAAACAAAACAAAATAAAGAAGGTCCCCTCAGTGCTCAGGTCCCCAAGTTCCCCAGCAGCGCTGTCAGTGGGGCTCAGGCACTTGACCTTGCAGGAAAGCCATCACTCTGCTGAGGCACGGGAGGCCAGACCTCAGGGACACAGGAACACAAGAACACCAGAACACAGAGGGAAGGTTTTGTGAGAACAAGTCAAATGACCACCAAGCAGCAGGTAAGACAGCCAACCAGGAATGACAGGGCACAGTACACAGAGGGGCTGGGTGCGCCTGTGTCCTGGAGATCAGGACCGTCACCCGCTCTCTGTGGTAGGAAGGCTCCAAAGGGCTGAGCTGGGGTCTGTGGCTAGCTGGCACAATCCACCCAGCCAGGTGTGGGTGACAGGGAGGCCTAGGGTGTGGGAAGGCCTAGACATTGACCTAACACAAACTAGCACCATTGCTAAATTCCAGGAACGTAGGAAACACCATTACACAACTATGCTGGACCACCTGATTCCATTGTGCAGCAGTGAACAGACCCTGGACACAGCCAGCTACACATGGATGTCCTGTCACCTCAGAGAAACACAAACCTACTGTGCATGTACAGGTGTGCATGGCACAAGTTTATTCCATAAAATTCTTCATAGCACTTTTCCCTTATAGACTTAAAATCCAGGACATTTTCAAAAGGTTTGACATTGTGCTCAGCTTTAAAAAAAAAAAAAAAAAAAAAATACAAAAAAAATCACCAGGATTTGTGACATACTCCACATACTGGATGAGAAGCACCGTCGAGTCCTGATGACCAAGCCTGAGAGTCCATTTGCAAGTGCAGAGGATGGTCACAACAGAAAGAGCCCAGGCACGAAGAGGGAGCATACCATCTCCCTCTGAAGCCAGGCAGCTCCATCCCTGAAGGACTCCAGGATCCCAGCACACACCTAAGTGATGGCATGGGTACCACCCAGGGGTTCAAGTGCCCCCAGACACCAGATCCTCAGTTAACTTCAAAACATCTGACCTGTTCAAACACTGTGCTATTAAGACCCAGAGATGGGCAAAGACAGTAGCCAGCAGAGGGGACTTGCCACAGCAGAGAGCTCTTGGCTGGCTGGAGTGTCGCTCACAATTCCCTAGAATGGTGTTCTGGCCATGGCAGACAGTATATGAGCCGTCAGCCCAGGGATCCCAACAGCCAGCTGTGAGATGACAGGCACACTGGGCCAGGTACCCTGGCTTCAGCCAGCTCTTGAGAGGACAATACAGCTGAGAGAGCCAGGCCACTTAAGGACAGGAAGTATAGGTATTTCACCTTCATAGAGCAAGATGGGACAGTGGGCTCCTGAGGCTGAAGGCCACATCGCTCCTCCGGTGTGCTGTCACCAAATGCTACCAACCCCGCACCTGCAAGGCTGTGTGCCGACTTACAGCAGCAGGGCCAAGACAAGCCCCCGTGTGCTCTTTTGGTCTCTGAAGGCCAGGCACATTTTGGTCCCCACCAATGACTCCAAAACAGGAATGATATTTCCGAGCCCACGGAATGTGCAGTGCCCAGGGCCATCTGGAGCAGTTGTTGTCTCTAAAGTGTCCCTAAGTTCCATCACATGCACGGACAGACGGTGTGCGAGCCGTTGGCTCAGAAGTCCTGCAGTTCAGGGATGTTCCGGTAAAGGTCCAGGGTCTCTGGGTTGGAGAAGGCCCCCCGGTGCTCCACAGCCCTGCCAGCCATCACCTGCTTCACAGCGACCTCCACTTTCTTGCCATTGAGTGTGTACTGTGGGAAAAGGCAGGAGACAAACAGAGGCATGTTTAAACCAGAGGTGACACAATGCAGCCATGCCTCAGGTCTCGGCCCACATTTTCTTCCAAGAAGGCCCATAAAACCAGATACACAGTGGCTTCAAACACATGCTACAGCACCTGCAGACACCAGAGGGAACCTATTGGATAGGACATCATCAGAAGCAACGCCGATACCATCTGTGGAACCTGCCATGTGATTCCACGCCTGTGTCAAAACCACATGAGCACGTGGGTGTCTCCAATGCTGTGCGCTGCACCAGATCCACATCCAGGAGCCCGGGAGTAGGCATGCCAGGTGCCCGTATCCCTTGACCAGAGTGATACCACACCTGTCTCAGATGCTACCCCCTCTAACAGATCTCTTCTGTCCCTGTGCTTTCTTAAAGACAGATCTGTCCCTGCCCAGAAGGGTGTCAAGAGGACACACTCCCTCACACTCACACACTTGCTTACTCACACACTGATTCACTCACTCACACACTTGGCTCATTCTCACACAAGGTACACCTCAGGCTCTCTTCCTCCCCACCCCTAGGTGGCTATGAGGACACAGTCAGAACTTTTCCAGGCAGAGTGAAGGCCACGCAGGTGGTTCTTAGTCAAATCATGGCTTGACGACTCCTAGCATACTCCACGAAGTCTCACCCAGCTCAGCCCAGCTGAGTCCATCTCCAAGTCCAGCTCTGCACATGCTTGTTCCGTCTACACAGGGAGCCCCAAAGCCGGAAGCCCAATGGCCTCCCATTATCTAATGAGAAGCAGCCTATAGCCATGGAATGGCAGCCTCACAGCACGTATGGATAACTGTCGCTTGCACACACTTGCACACATGTGCATATTTGCAAATTCATGCCCCTTATTCCCCACTACAAACACGACCGAGCCACAATAGGGCTCCTTCCCCATGCCCCACAAAACCCCCAACACCCACACCTATGGCTCCCTTTAGAGTTCACATCCCTACAGCTGTCCACAGGCCACCAGCCCCAATATGGCATCCCACAGAAGCTGCTGAAGAAACGTGGTCATGAGGGAGAAGATGGTTGCTAGGCAACATGGTACCCGTATAGAACTAACAGCAAGCTGCAGTCACCCCACCCTTCACAGGTCCAGGTCAGAGACAACGTACTGGAATGCCCCGAGTCTCCAGGATGAGGCTGGGCACATGGCGAGCCGACAGGCCAAGGCGGATGGCATCACGGATGCGCTTCACGAGATCAGGCTGGAAGGTGTGCCCAGACGCCATCTTCAGAAACAGGACCACCCGCTCCTCGCCATCCCTGTTGTACTGGGGGACACACAGGCTGTCCTCCACCTCGTCAAAGGCTTCCACTGTGGAAGCAGAAAGGAAATAGGCTCATAGGAAGCTCTCTACAGGCCACCGTACCATGCACCAGTCAGACAGGCAGGGCACCGGGCCACCTGGACTGAGGGTCTATGTCATATATACTAAGATGCCACTGATGGGGGAAAGGGGCCAGGCATGGGAGGAAGTGAGTTCAGATCACTCACCTGGCTACACTGACCTGGCACTACCTGGGGCTCAGATCTCATCAGCATGACAAAGGAGGCCACCTTCCCAAGAAGGATGGCGCTGGGGCCTGGGCTAGAAGCTCTGGTGTCCTGAACAGTGCTGTGTGACCTTCAACGTTCACACACCCTCTCTGTGCTTCTGTTTCCTTGCCCAGAAAGCAGAGATAAGATTAACCAATGCTCTGAGCTTTCTCTAAAAATGTAAACCTGAAGAAAGGTCAAGGCCAAGTGGCCTTAACCCTTTCTGAGGTCTTAGGAGGTGCCAGAAGGGAATATATATGTATAGATATTCACCCCCACAAACTCTTTGGGGATCAGGGTCCCGGTGCCTGTGCGAACCCCCCCCCCCAGATCCAAGTGAGAGTATCAGAGAAGAAATGCACGAACCTATGTTGTAGATCTCTGAGCTGCCGAAGCGTACTCCATTGGGGTTGAGGGTGCCATCACTGCAGAAGGCAAGAGGCACATGGCTAAAGCACGTGGCGAGATGCCCCATCCGTCCTGGCAAGCACCATGCCCACCAGTAAGGCTTCTCCCCTAGCAACCAACTGCTATCTGTTGCCCTCTCTCCTGTCACTTCACAGGACACTTCCCCCATGCCTCAGCGGGGACGGCAGCAGGGAGGGACACCTCACCTCCGGCCCAGCATGACGATGCCTCCTGTCTTAGGATTGATCCTGCAATAGTCGCCGTGTGCCCAGATACCTACAAGCAAGGTGGAACAAATCGGTCACACTAAGGAGATGGACTGGGATGCACTCAGACAGGCACCTGAGGCAGGGACAGATGGGAAGGGATGCTGACCATCCAGCGTACGCTCATACGTTCAGGGACGAGTGGTGTATAGCTGAGCACAGCGGCCAGGGAGGGAGAGACAGTGAACTGTATATGTGACTGCACGTGTGACTGCACACATGTAGTTTGTAAAAGCCAACCCCCACCGTGGTGGTAACCCATGGAGGGTGTTAACAGTGTTCATCCACCAAGGCCTCAAAACTACTAGTTCCACGCGAGGCAGGAGGAATCAGGGCCACAGAGAGGGCGGTCTACAGGGTAGCCTGACAAAGTGAATGGCAGTGTTAATGTGTAAGGGTGCATGGGTGGCGTGTCTGGCACAAGTCAACCTGCATCATAGCATCACCCTCCATTGTCTCCAGGCATCTCTCCAATGCCACTTTCATTGGAGCCAGCAGGCAAGCCCTGGGCAGAGGTTAGGCAGTCGACAGCCCTCTGCCCCCAGCCCTCTGCCCTCAGCCCCCTGCCCTCTGCCCCCAGCCCCCTGCCCCCAGCCCTCAGCCCCCTGCCCTCAGCTCTCTGCCCCCAGTCCCCTGCCCTCAGCCCCCAGCCCCCTGCCCCCAGCCCTCTGCCCCCAGCCCCCTGCCCGTGGCTCTCAGCACAGGGCTGCTGGCTGGAGGCTTTGAAAGCAGAGGCGAGGACCCTGATGAGATACTGAGAGCCACTGGGAGCTGGAGAAGCCACGCCCTCGCCAGGCAAGGTGTGGTGCCAGCCCGCCCCCACCTACCAGGGAATTTGGAGAAGTAAGCCTTCCTGTACTTGCTGCCATTCTCGTCGTTCCAGAAGTGCGTGGGCTGGCAGGGGATGGGCTTGGTACACACCAGCTCGCCACTCTCTCCCCAGACGGCCTTCCCTGGCATACGGGGAGAAGACTGAGCCTGGGTACTCATGACTACACTCTGGCATACACTGCCTTCCTTACCCTCCTACTTGGAACAAAATTTTGCTGCGTACAGGCAAAGGTAACCAACCCTCCATGTGTACCATGGCATCCCTGATAAAACCCACATACAACCTGATACCCACCACCCCATTCTCATGGCACTCCATCTCAACACCTACTTCTCCTAAGTTGGGGTCAGGAGGCCTATGAGTGCAAAACCACACCCATGAGAAATGACAATGTTCTCCACAGGAGAACGGTCACTCCCCTCTCAGGGAGATGAAGAATCACCACAAGCAAGGGAAACATCTGCGTTCTCCCTCCTCACACCCCAGAAGAGTCAGGGAGCCATTCACCTTCCTCGTCCCAGGCTTCCACGGCCATGCCAAGGTTCCGGGCTTGAATCTCACCCTTATACACAGGGATAGATGAGTTCTGGCCCATGAAACAGGAGATGATGTCAGTGCCACCTGCAAACAACAGTAAAGGACAGGTGGCCCTCAGGAAGAGATGATCCTTGGGGACAGGGTTCCCTGTCAGCAAGATACATACCGACCTGAACAAGCACCACTCCCGTAGACACAAGCCTGACAGCAAGGGCTTCCTTGCAGAGAGAGGCAGCAATGACAAGAGACTGGACCCAGCTCTGTACGCGCCCCTATGTCTGGTGATGTTCTCTCTCTGACTGAGCCTCCCTACCCAAGGACTCAGCAAATGCTCTCAGCTGATCACATGAAAGCCCGAGGCTTAAGATAGGTAAATATGAGCCTCACCTGATAATACCCACACACCACATACCTCCCCACAGACATTCACCACACCACACCTGGACACACACATACACTGGAACACAGCAAAGTCATCGGGAGCACAGTGGGGCTGGGTTGTGGATCCCAGCCAGGGGATGCACAGAGTCCATGTAGACACCTTGACCCTCCCACTAGGTATCCAGATGCCCCAAAGCCATGCTACAGGGTTAACCACCGCCTCCTCCAGGTACCGGCAGGTGTGGGAAGGGTTGAGCCACACGAGTGTCCCTTCTGGGAAGGCGTGACCCAGAGGCTCTGTGCAGCTGCTTTTGTCTCCTTTATGTCCACCCCCAGGTCCCATGTTTACTGCAACCACCACTGGGGTTTGCTTCAGACTCACAAGAATGGGGCAGGGGCCTCACCAAGAAGACAGGCCAGGTCCTGACACAGGCCAAGATGGCTATGAGACACCCAGGCAGCAGCCAGGACGTCCCAGAAACCAAATCAAGGTGAGCAGGATGCACTATAGTCTCAGCAACAATGGACCAGAGGGCATGAGGTGCAAGAAAGGCTGGACAATAATGGGGCTGAGGAGGCAGTGAGGAGGCCCACACAGAATCACAGATGTGTCGAAGGAGTACTGGAGATTAGTCTAGCCAGCTCTGAAAGTGTTCAAACCTTCGGGCAGAGCCAAAAGAAACAGAGTACCAGGGAGGGCAGAGGGGCCAGCATCATGATGCTCTCCCTACAAGGGACAAATTGATAGAGAAAAGAGACGTCGTGATCCACAGATTCCCATGGAACAAGACAGCATGACCTGTCAAGAGTCACTGCTGAAAGGAAGTGTAATGTACCTAAAGTCATGTCCAGGGCAGCCCTCACACACATACACACATGCATACACATGTTCCATCTTTACACACATGCCCTCAAGCTCACACATCTGAACACTCACCCACCCAGAGAACATCTGATCAGAAACACTTCCAGAAGGGTTAGGAAGGTACCGTGTGTGTGTGTGTGTGTGTGTGTGTGTGTGTGTGTGTGTGTGTGTGTTAGAGAAAGAGGAAGAGAGAGGGAGAGGTATTCTGAAAGAAAATGGCCCCCAAAAGGAGTGACACTATTAGAAGGTATGGATTTGTTAGAGTAGGTATGGCCTTGTTGGAGGAAGTGTGTCATACTGTGAGAATGAGCTTTGAGGTCTCCTATGCTCAAGCTACTCCCAGTGTCACAGTTCACTTCCTGTTCCCTGAATATCAATATGTAATCAGCACCATATCTGCCTGCACATTACCACAATAATGGACTGAACCTCTGAAAATGTAAACGAGTCACCTCAATTAAATATTTTCTTATAAGAGTTGCTGTGGTCATGGTGTTAGAAACCCTAACTAAGACAGACAGCCCAAGGATGCCAGAAGGAGCTGAAACTTTTTACAGGTAGCTAAAGCCACCCAACATGGGTGCTAAGAACTGAACTCTGGTCCTCTTCAAGAATAGCAAGTACCCTTTAATCCTACATCCTATCACTCGCCATACCATTGCTATGATGCTCCTAACTATGGTGCCCATCTACAGCTTCCAAGGGCTACCCCACACTTCCTTGCCCCTGGCAGCCACTGTTTTTGGCCCTACCTGAGATGGAGCCAAGGAGTACACTGCTCTTGACGCATTTGTACACGTACTCGTAGCTCTGGGCTTTCAGTGGTGAGCCAGTGGACAGGATCGTGTGGAGCGTGTGGAGGTTGTGAGTTTCCACTGGGGGTAAAAAAGACCAGAGATTAAGCCAAGCCCACTGCCTTCAGCCACACTTATAGGCAGGACACAGTTAGAATGGATGTCAGGTCCTTGAAACATGGACCGAGGGGCCCACTCACCTGGCTTCATGTCCTTCTCCTCCAACACTGACAGCCACTTGGCTCCAGTTCCCAGGATGGTGATACTATGACACGGGCAAGAAAGAAAACACGTTCAGGCCTCCTGCAGGGCCCCAAAGCTTCTAACCATCACTAACAGACTCTAGCTACAACCTCCCACCTCCTGCCCTCCTGATTCAGCTCCATGCCTGCTCTGTCCCATCACAGCCTGGTCCAGCAGGGATCCACACGGACCAGGGGCCTGGCACAAGCAGAGGCCTATGACAGTGAGAAGTGATCATCTCCCTCCAGGAGACAAAAAGCCACTCACAGTGAGGACTCCCACGCAGGGTTGTCTTACTGTCACATGGCCTTTGCAGATGGGTGACTGACTGCCCTATGTCCCAAGATAGCAAGTGTGGAACTCTGGCCCCATCTTTAGCCAAAATCATCTCTCCTTGGACTCACCTCAATAAGAAAAACCAGCCCTGAAGGGTCTGGTCTCAGCCAGGCATTGGTGGTGCATGCCTTTAATCCCAGCACTCGGGAGGCAGAGGCAGGTGGATCTCTGTGAGTTCATGGCCAGCCTGGTCTATAGAGTGAGTTCCAGGATAGTTTCTAAGGGTCTGAGCCTGGAGAGTTAGAGAGCTGGTGGTGCCCTCTGCTGTTCGGAAGCTACTACCACAAGCTAGACTCACTCCTAGTTTTATGAACATGTATGAAAAGCTCTGAGGTCCTAGGGATGCCACCAGCCTGCTGTTCCTGGCCAGCGCCTCTGGCTACAAGGCAAATGGGTATCTTTTTAATTATGCTTTTATTTATGTTGTTGCAGGGAGAAGGGCACAGATGAAGAAGTCAGAGGAAAACCTGCAGGCTCTAATCTCTCCTTTGACCACATAGGTCCTGAGGATTGAACTCAAGATTATCAGCAGCAAGTGCCTTCATCCACTAAGACATCTTGCCAGTGCATACTTAACCTTGTTTTGGTCTCAGGACTGGTTGCAATGGGGTATCCTACCCATTACCCATCTACCCTGCACCTGTGTTTCTCACTGCCATTGACAGCTGAGCAGAGACTCGAGGGCTGCAGTCCCTGCCTAGGAACGAAGCTACACATACCATGTTGGACAGTAAGGAGGTATGTTCCACCACACAGCAGGTGGCACCTGACAAGACCATGGCTTAGTACTGGGGCACAGAGTGTGTACACCCTGCATGGGACCAGCCCACAGGTCTATGAGCATACTGGCTTTGCAGTTGTGAATGCACACAACCTGTAGTTCACACTCATGTGTACACACATGCACATGTAATCCCATGCACACAAGTGCACATTTGCACATGCACATATAAACATAATCTCATACACATGTATCACACACTACATTGGATCTTGAAGACGCAATGACATCCATTTCCCTCTCCATCCCCCTTCTGGAAGCTTCCCCCACTATACCCACCCCACACCATGGCTAGCAGGTGCCAAGGGATACAATTAACCTTTGGCTGACCACAGTCTCACTAGGAAACAGACTCCTGATTAACACTGTGAGCCTCGTGTTGGAATTGTAATAGCGTGACTCTGGCCAGGCAGTTTATGTAAAATGATAATGGCCAGGGTTTAAAAACTCTAGCAGTGGGCCAGCTCAATGGGTAAAGGTGCCTGCCATCAACAGGCACCTTTGACAACTTGAGTTTAATCCCAGGTTTAAACTCCCAACAAGTTATCCTCTCACATCCACCTGTACACTGTGGCATGCATGCAGCCACACACACACAAGCAGGATCCAGAGTACCTACCCTATCCTGTCCACAAGGTCCCACAACACATTGGGTGTTGGGACCAGCGGAGAGCCATCATACAAGACCAAGGATGCACCTGTGGCCAGGGCTGACACCATCCAGTTCCACATCATCCAGCCGACCTGCCGAAAACAGAGAGACCAGGTTAGCCAGACAGAGGTGCAGGCCTGGAATCCTAGCACTGAGGGCAGTGAGGAGAAGTTGGAGGACTGCAAGTTTGGGGTCAGCCTTAACTACATTATGAAACCCAATCTAAAAAGAAACAAAAACATTCTAAAAGGAATGACACAGGCAAGCCCACTGATGAATAAGTACTCCGACTACTCAGGGAAAATCTGGGCAGATCTGAAACAAAAAAAAAACAAAGGGAGGGAGGAATTCCAGCAGGAATCTCCAACCTGGAGGGCAAAGGGGTACCCAAGCTCCCTTGCATGGACCAGAGGGTAAGCCTGGGCAGACTTGCTGGGTATCTGAGTGTCACCCAGCATCCTAGAGTCAGTATTGGGAGATGGGGTCATACAGCTAATGAGGAAGTTCCCAGGAAGCAGGGAATGGTGGTGCATGCCTGTAATCCCAGGATTTGGGAAGCTGTGGCGGGAAGTCAGGAGTTCAAGGTCTACAGAGTTAAGTTCCATCTAGCCTGGACAAGTCAGCTAGATGCTATCTCAACATGAAAAGAATAAAGAACTAGGGATGTGGCTTGGTGGTAGAGTACTTGCCTAGTATGCTATGCCAGCACAGACACACCCACCCAAAAAACACTGCTAGATCCTTTGGAACCTCTACAGACTAGACAAGAACGCCCCCAATTCCCAACATAAACAACCTAACTCCCAACTCAGATGCCCCAACTCCCAACTCACATATCCCAACTCCCAACTCACATATCCCAACTCCCAACTCAGACACCCCAACTCCCAACTCACATACCCCCAACTCCCAACTCAGACACTCCAACTCACATACCCCAACTCCCAACTCAGACACCCCAACTCCCAACTCAAACTCTGGATTAGTGCCAGCACCCCATGCTGCTCCAGGCCACATCCACCTGCCGTCCCTTGTCCCACCCAGCCCCAGGAGGGGCAGCAGAAGGCCACAGGACACACCGTTGTGTAGTAGAGCAGAATGTCGCTGCTCGTCATGTTGCCGTGTAGTATGTGCTCCTTCAGGTGCTGGATGAGGGTGCCCTGCAGGAGGGAGGGAAATCAAGGCATGGGTGAGACATATCGTCCATCTCCCCTTCCTTGAGAAAGCCAACTACAGCTCTCTGGCTCTCAAAGACAGCTTCAGTGTCACTCTGCCATCTGACACCCAAGCATCAATCAGGAAGTCCCAGTACACCCCCTCCACCCATGAGCTCATCCCATCAGGGACACCATCAGAGACATACTAACTTCAGGAAGAAGAGGTGACCTTCACTGAGATGGGAGAGAAAGCTCAAGGGCCAATAGCAGATATGTCCCTGCCTTTGGGCTCTCCTCGGAGAAGACATCTAAACACAGAGCTCAGAGACACCATGGCAGAGGGGACTGCACAGGACACCTCCCACACACCCTCTACTTTTGGTTTCAGTATTCACTAGGCAACAGTCCTAGGGTCCAAATCCACAATGCACAGCCTAGGAAACACCCTCTCCGAGGCCTGCACCTGGTTCCTCCTTCTCCCCCAGGATGGGTCAGCACACCCCCCCACCCTGTACCTGCATATTCCCAGCAGCTCTGGCTGAAGGCTGGGGTGGGGGGAGCTTCTGAGTCCAACTAGCACTGTGAGTGCCCACTGCCCATCACTCCATCCTCAGCCTTGGTCTTCCTGTCACTATACTGGGTCCCCTGTAAGATCCTGAGGACAGACTGAGGGTGTCACCCTTTGACACCCCTGGAATGATCAGCTCACTGCCTGGGCCTGCCACATGTGTGAGCACCTGGCTTATAAGGAGGCCACAGGCTATAGAAGAGCCATGGAGCTGGCACAAGACCTCACATGTCACACACTCAAGAGAAATCAAAGAAGGACCTCCATACAACCCTTCTGTAGTTTGAAGGGTAAATGTCCCCATAGATTTGAACACTTGGTCCCCAGTAGGTGGCGCTGTTTGGGAGGTGATGAATCCTCCTGTTCCAAGCTCAAAACAGAGCATAGCTGTTCTTAAACACCTGTGCTAACTGCCTATCCCAGGGAGGTGATGTAGTAACATGGTTCCCTGGCTTTTTTTTTTTTTTTTTTTTTTTTTTTTTTTTTTTGCTGGGGATAGAACCCAGGGTACACATGTACTGGGCAGATGTCATACTGCTGAGCCACAGTCCTAGCCCTGAATAAGTTAAAGGAGGGAATGGGGCACTGCTTTCTAAGATACCCCCATGGATGCAGGAACTCTAGAAACAGGCCAGTGATGACCCCACGTACCAGGGCAACACTCCCCTCTCCCCCATGCTGTGTTCATCTAGATTCAAGGCAACGAACTCCCTACCATGTATAATAATATATGCCAGCTATCCCAGTGTTCAGAGGCTGAGGCAGGAGGATCGCCATGCCCAAGGCCAGCCTGGGCCACACAGTCAGACCTTGTCTCAATAACAGTAAAAACAAGAGGGGAGAGGACTCTCAAAACCAGGCAAGATGCTTAGTCAGCTCCCTGGGGATACAAGGGCAGGCAAGGAGTGGGCAGAGAAAACATGACCCAGACCCTCCCTCATCTGAAGCATTCAGACAAAGAAAACAGACTAAGCCAGGCATCACACGCCTTTAATCCCAGCACTCAGGAGACAGAGGCAGGCAGCTGTCTGTGAGTTCGAGGCCAGCCTGGTCTACAGAGGTAGTTCCAGGACAGGCTCCAAAGCAATACAGAAAAACCCGTCTCGAAAAATCAAAAGAAAATAAAGAAAACAGACTGAGGCCTGAGTATCTCATGAGAGGCCACTTGAAGACACAAGAAGACCACTGACCAGGCCAGGCATGAGGCTGTGGGAGAAACCAACCTCCTGACACTCAGTCTTCATTCCCCACCCCCAAAAAGCCAGCATTCCCTCCTATTGAGTCTCTAGTCTCACAGCATAGGGAGCTCTCAGTGAATCGCTTTTAGCATAACCTAGTGGCTTTCGAGTGTTTTGGACCACAACCTACAGTCCTACATAAATCTCAAAGGCCACCCAGCTCCATACACACACTACAGACTGTCAGGCCCCTGAAGCCACATCCCTTGCAAGGCTGACGTGCTGACACTGTCCTCTTTCCTGCTTGCCCTTTGAAAATGCTGGCAGCCCACCCTCTGAGCTCACAATCCCGTGGGCCCAGGACCTGCAGTGTCAAGGTGGCTGGCTCACAGGGTGCCTCCTCCCTCGGCAACAGTGTGCTCTAGCCCACCTGCCTCCTATCACAGCCATCACAGCTAAGAATGCAATGCTCCATTGCCCTGGGCCAGTCCCAGAAGCATGCCCCCTGGGGACTCAGCAGAACAGAATTGTCAAGCCAGCATAGGAGGACTGGAGAGATGGCTCAGAGGTTAAGAGCACCGTCTACTCTTCCAAAGGTCCTGAGTTCAATTCCTAACAACCACATGGTGGCTCACAACCATCTATAATGGGGGGAATCTGGTGCCCTCTTCTGCCCTGCAGGCATACATGCAGACAGAACACTGTATATATAATAAATCTTGAGCCACCTACCCCAGCAGAGTGCACCATGCACTTGGGTGCTCCTGTCGTGCCCGAGGAGAACATGATGAATAGAGGATGGCTAAAAGGCAGCTGTTCGAACTCTAGCTGAGGTGCCTGCGCGCCTGTCCCGCTTGCCAGGAAATCATCCAGGAACACACTGTAGGCAGGAACATGAGAAACCAACAGTGAACATTCCAGAATGCCAAAAGAGGCCTGTTGATTCTGCCCAGCTAGATATAGCCCAAGATCCCTCCTCATCTACCATAAGAGCCTAGACCACTGGCTCGCCTCCATCCATGGATGCTGAGTATGGAAGCCCTGTGCCTGAGGAAAGGAAGGGTCAGACTCCCAAATTCAAGATGGTTAAAGGGGAAGTCACTGAACATGAAGATTAGGGGCCGGAGTTTCTTGCATCAAGGGCTGCCTCCTTAGAGACCCCTCCCCCCCCCCCAGACAATCCCCTCTACACTTCTGGGAAACCTAGTTCACAGCGAGCCTATCACTGTCCACAGACACCGCCCCCCCCCCTCCACCAGTGTGGACCAGTCCACACCCTTATTTGCACTTCATCTCCTAATGAGCAGCCCCAGACAGGAGTGCTTGCCCCAATAGCTTAACCTGAAGGCTTCCCCACCCTGGGGCGGGGGCAGAAGGGCACAGCAGGAAGGTAAAATAACTGGCCCAAAGCCACCACAAGCCAATATGTATCCCTTCATTTATTACATCCTAGGGCCTACAATAGCCATGTGCAAATATCTGACCAGAAATAAATACAACTAACCTAAGCTGTTAACTAAGTTCTGCCTCAACCCACAGCCACCAGAAGTCACCAGATGTGGGTGGCCCAGAATCACAGAACAAAGGGAACAGCATGTCTCTATTTTCTGACAAATCAAACTCTCTCTTCCAAGCAAGGAGGTGGGATGTCATTAAACTCAGCAATTTGCCGAGGCTAATGACACTGAAACCCGCCCCACCTGGCATGAGAAGACATGCCTCAGAGACCAGGGACAGGGAATAGCTTTAAAGAGACATCCAAAATGGTTCTGACAGCCGCACCCCCACACACACCCCCTCCAAAGCCCTGCTCTGTGAAGTGCCAGTCTAATGGACACTTCCTACAGGGAAAGCCCTTCCTCTCAAAGGCACCATAAATCACAGTAAATAACCATTGCTTTTGTTTCTCTCCTAAAAATGAAAAGACCAGGGGAGGCTCTGCCCTGCCTGTGCTCCCCGGACCAGCAATTTGCTGTTCAGGTTTATCTGTGGCAGCCAGAGATCTTAAGAAAACAATGGCAGTGGCTGGTGCCTGGGTTGCATGAGGGGACGGACAGCTCAGGACTATACAGAAAAACTAACGGGTAGATGGATGTGACTCTCCTGACCACCTCACTTTCTATCAGTTACTGAGAAACAGAAGATTCCCCGGCTTTCCTCCTCACCTCTGCATCACGGCCTCCTCAGACACACCAGGGCTAAATCTAGGGTTACATGCATAAGACCAGATCTCCTTCATTTAGCTGTAAGTTATCAGGTCGGCAAGCTGGGTCCAAAGGAGCAAATACCTGGGCGGGCTCACAATGGACTCACACACAGCTGTAGTCGTGGGTGGCTTCAAGGGACAGAACCCACTGGACCTCACGGGGACACACTGTTACCCATAGCTAACTATGCACTTATCCCAGCTCTGGCCTATTTAATTCACAAAGGGATATACCATCGGCACTTAAAGGGTGGCAAGAACAGACAGGTGAATCACTGTCATGGGGCCAGCTGGGATCGGAACCCAAATGGGGAGACCCTAACTGCCGGGTCTTACCAAACTGCCCTTTACCCTCAGCATTCTTTCCAGGTAACAAGGGCCCTGTGAAGGACAGACCTCAAGGCCAATCAGGAACACAAGAAATGTCAAACATGAATCGTGTTTATCAAATACAAAGAATTAGTACAAAGAATTCAAACCGTCCATGCAAATATTTTAATGCCCACCCACCCACTTAAACCTTTGTTTACCCGAAGACTCCTACTGCATTCTGGGAATCTGGTGACCTAGGGAGGGCACCCCTTTTCTCGCTGAGCAATGGCACTCTTCCCTTCCTCCTCCATTTCCTGTGTACCAGTTCTTTCCAGGCTAGCAAATCCAGTGAGACTGTGAGGTCAGAGCCCAGCCAATGGGGAAAGGACAGCCACCTCCTGAGTGAGCACACACCCTCTGCATCAAAAGTGAAGCTTGCCTCATCAGGACACTTTGGATGAGCGAGCGTTTCTTTGCACTCTGATTTGTTTCTAACAGAGGCAACCACCCCAGATCTCACGGAGAAGCAGCCAGGCAGCTTGCAGCGCCTGAGTACTTCCGTCCCCTCCTGATGGATGGATAGGCTGTGTCCTGTGGGCCTAGCAGCCAGCATTTCCCCACCCACAGGTGTCTCATCCTCTGAAGCAGACAACACCTGTGGATGTCAGAACACCTGTGGGTGTCAGAACACCTGTGGATGTCAGAACTCGTGCTTCACATCCTGCAGGGCCCAGGCAGCACCCAGCAAAAATCAGGGAGCCCAATGTTACTGGCTCGCTGCCTGTCTTGAGCCTCTCCCCACAGACGGCACAGGGGGAGGGGTTGGGGAGGGCTGCCATGTCCCCACAGCCCCTCCTCACAGCCTCAGATTTTAGCCTGGGAGGTGGGGAGCACCTACCAGCAGCGTGAGCTAAGACTGAAGGAAAGATCCCTGCAAAGATAACCAGATCCCTTCAACTGTCCCCCGAAGATCGAAAGGACCCCAACAAAAACAGACACCTTTGGCCTAACCCACTGACAAATTACCAATGTCAGAAAAGCAAAGGGGCCAGGCAGTGGTGGACCCCACTTTTAATCCCAAGATTTGGGAGGCAGAGCCTGGTCTATAGAGCAAGTGCCAGGGCGGACTCCAAAGCTACATAGAGGAGCCCTGGATTGGGGGGGGGGGGGGTGCCATCAGAGCAAAAGGACAGTCTGGAGAGACTCAGTTTGGGGGCCTCCCATGCTTCACCCCCCAGTGAGGGCTTCAGCTAATGGCTCTCCCAACATGGGGCCTAGTCTGGAGAGTGGCGGCTCCTTACCTGTTGGGGATCTTGGAAATGTCTATCTTCTCCCTTGGGAGGACATAGGGGATCAGCACCACTCTCTGCAGGTCAGGAAGTCCTGAAGGAGGGGTGGACAAGGTCAGGCCCAGCTGTTGTCTGCGCATGCGCCCAAGGGCAGGACCCCTAAGTACCTTTCACAACTCGCTGCAGCTTCTCCAGGTGGCCGTGCTCCTTGCCATTGTAGACAACAGCTTCCACTGAGAAGATAAGCTTCGGCTGAATTTGAGAAAACCGATCCAGGACACCCTGAAAATGAGAGGATGGGTCATGGGAAACTATAAATGCAGGAGGGAAAAGGTCAGTGGCGGTGCTGAGCAATGCCACCTGCCCTCAGTGCTTGCAGCCAATACAGGCAGTCCATGCAAACTCCAGACACATCCAGGAAGCAATGGCCACCCCAAGGAAAGCCTCAATGTTAATAATTAATTAATTAATTTAATTGATTAATTAAAAAAAAAGCCCAAAGACTCAGAAACATGACCTAAATCAGAAAATGTTCCAACTGCCCCAGCAGAGGGTTCTCACTGCACAGAGCACTTCTCAGCACTGGCCTCCATAAACCTATGTCATCTGCCTTGCAGGAGGAAGGGTGCAAGGTTTTGTGAAACCTCGATGTGAGAGGAGCCTGCATCCTCCTGCAAGTGTTCACACTGCCCTGTAAGCATACACGCTGCCCAGGAAGCCCTGGCTGGAGGAGCAGACTTGCCCACAGAACCGTGCACCACACAGGGAGTCCACAGCCCGCCAGTGTAGCCCTTTCCTACCTCCCATACAAATCTATGTAGACAGGCACAGCTACGGGACCACTTTGCTCTACACCCCTCCCCTCCCCCTTCCCCTTCCCCCCCAAGGGGAACAGATCAACCCCTACCCCACCCAGGATGGCCAGCAGGCCATCATCGATGTTAGCAAGGCCAGTGATGCAGCGGACAGCATCTTAGACTTCCTCAGCCCCTACCCCACCCAGGATGGCCAGCAGGCCATCATCGAAGCTAGCAAGGCCAGAGGCGGGGAAGGCTCCACCCCTCTGCCCTCTGTGCTTCTGCCAGAAGCTGCTTGGAGGACACCTACAGTGACACCACACATCACACACAGGGTCCCCACCTGGCTGAGGGCCAAGCCACCTGCAGAAGGAGCATTAGGTTAATTGGGGCCCTAAGTGTGACTAATTAGCTGTTCCAGTGCTCAGTGTTGCCAGACCTCCCTGGGTGACTCTCAGCAGGGAGAGGTGCTGGCTCAGCAGGAATCCAAAAGGGGAGGGGGGACGACATATCTCAGGGTGCCCCCCCCCACTGAGCATCCCCTCAGCCCAGCAATCTGTCCCTGCCAGCGCACCTGGAGTTCTCATGCACTCTAACCCTGAGCATCGTGAAGCTAACGGTTCTAGGACTGAGTTCACCTCAATGCTATCGCTTTTCCAGTCCCACACTGATGGACAGGCAGAGCCCAGGCACAGGGGTTCACTCCGCCTCCGTTTGTGCTGGGTACTTGCTAGGAACCCACGAGGGTCCCCACTCTCCCAAAAAATGAACAGGACCAGACAACTGCTGGTGTTGTTGCTTCTGGTTCCAATTCTAAAAGAGTTCACAATGCAGACAGCTCAAAGAAGAAAGGTGTGGGTGGGCCTTGTTACTCATGCCTGTCAGCCCAGCTCTCAGACTGAGATGGGGGATCAGGAGTTCATGAGTTCAAGGTCAGGTTGTGCTCAGAGTGAGACTGTCTCAAAAACAAACTGGCTGCTGAGCCAGCCACAGGATGAAAGTGCTGGCAGTACTAGCTCATTCCTGGAAAGGACAGGATTGACTCCACCAAGCTGCCCTCTGACCTCTACATGCGTCTTGTGTCATGCATGCCACAAAGACAACATACACACACATAATTATTTTAAAAAAATAAGAATAAAACTTAAGAGCCAGGCATGGCGGCACACACCTATGATCTCAGCACTCAGGAGGCAGAGGCAGATGGATCTCTGAGTCTGAGTCTAGCCTGGTCTACACAGTGAGTTCCATGACAGCCAGGGTTGTTACACAGAGAAACAATGTTGGGGTGGGGGATAAAATTTAAAAGGAAAGATTTATACTAGTAGATTAGTATAATATAAAAAATTATTAACTTTTATAAAAGTACTATATAAAAAATAGTAAAACTTATTTTTCCCAATAAAATAAAATTCTTACCAAATCTGACTGAGAAGAGAGTCATTACCCCTGGAAGTCACTCACACACCGCCCCTTGCAATGCAGCAGGCCATGTCCAAAGTGTGGCTATCACCTCAGAGAGTCTCTGACTGGGGGACCATCACCAACTGCCTACCACTGAACGCAAGTGTGCAGTGCTGTGAGGTGTCACCTTCACAAGAGATGTCCGTGAGGGGCCGTCAGCCCTGGCAGTTCACTGAATGTCACTGTGGTGCTCTGGGCAGAACAGAGGGGAAAGGGAGACTCCCCCGGGGTGATGAGGACCCAGCCTTCCTGCTCCACCCCCCCCCACTCCCGCTATGAAAGTCCCCTTTGCACCCAAGACTCTCCCAGGACAGGGCACCATCCTCCATCTCTGAATAAACCTTCTCCACCTCTTGCCTCCCACACACTGGCTTTTGAGTGGTAAACACCCAGGACCTGGTGTGCTAACAATGGTACCCCACGCCTATCTCCTCCAGCCTCATTCACCCCATATACAAAGGGCACCCCAACACTCCAGGACCCTGGGCCACCTGCAGCACAAACACAGGGGTCTGTCCTGGTCTTTGCTATAGGAAGTGTTCAACCACAGGAGCCCATGAACCCTGTGCCTGCTCTGTGACTGAGACATGATCACAAATGGAAAGCTCTTGGTTAGGTGGTAAGAAAACGGTTGTCAGTAAAATTACATAACAATGTTGAAGCCCTTGACTCTCATGGGACCAGGATTGGGGTGCGTTACTGAGAAGAAGGACTGACTTAAGAACTCTGAGCAGAGAGCATGCCAAGAGGCCAGGGGCATTGCTGGGAGGGCAGCCTGACCCCTGGGTACACGGGCTCCCAGGAGACAGTCTGCTCTGCTAAAGAAACACACAGAATAGACGGCAAGACAGAAGTGGGTGCTGAGGTCCCGGACAGATCACATCAGCGCCTGCAAGGGAAGCCCACAGCCGGGCTCGGGACCAGGGATGGTGTTCCCACAGAAGGAATAAGAACTCTGCTAGAAAGCCCAAGGCCAGAGAAGCTGAGAAGCTAGCCTAGGAGGGTGTTAGCAGGTGGCCTGCAGGGCCGTCATCTCAGAGGACCATCTTCACTCACAGCTGGCCGTGGGAGGACCCAGCAGCCCAGAGGCCCGAGGCCCCCAGTCTCAGTGATAAAGCCTGAGGCTCAGACATCACAGAGACACTCCCCAGCTTCAGTGATAAGACTCAGACATCGCAGAGACACCCTCCATAGCAGTGCTAGTACTCAGACAGCAAAGACAACAGGCATTTCCAAATCAGAGTCTACAAATGTCAGCTGAAGCTCCCTGGCCGGGCAGGTGAGGTAGAGTGCTCAGGACACGTGAAGGAGCAGCCGGCCTGCTGAGGTCCCCAGAGCTGTGCCAACTGCCTTGTGCTACACTGAACACCCTGCCACCACGGGTCTGACCCGAGCCAGTGCTTAGCAACCAGTCAGGTGTTGAAACCAGTGGCCCATGCTGAGTCACACAGATGGCTACCCAGAGTAAAGGCAGTGGCTGTCCTATTTACACACACAAAACATTCAAGCAGCTAGACAAGTGTACATGGAGAATGAGGGCAACAGGCTGCGGGCTGAGCCCTAAGCACGCGGGTCTTAGAGGGTGGCCTCCCTGGTGTCTCTAAAATCACCATCAGTTCAGGAGAAAACAGAAAAACCCAAAGTGGCTGGCAAGTACGGCACTGGGTGGGCACCTCCTGTTGGGCAGTGGCCCACAGGCCCACAGAGCAATGCAGAGCAGCGGTGCTAGGGAGACTGAGACAGGCCAAAGTGGGACACCATGGTGCGTGTCAGAAGTGGACCTGCGCCCCGCTCCGGAAGCCCCTCCCGGCTGGTTTCCACCCTGAACATGGGTGGTCAGTGTCCGGTAGACACAGTCTGAGCAGCAGCTTCAATGCCTTTGGACCCGTCCCAGGCCAAAGCTCACAGCGAACAGGTGTGGAGATGAGCAAGCAGCAGGCCTGCCAGAGGACTCAGGGCCCTAGGCCAGGGGCCAGCGGGCAAGCAGCTGCCCCTGAAGCCTTTCATGAAGACGCCATTTATCTGTCCCAGGCCATAGCTGCCAGGCCCCTTCAGACAGCTGTAGGCTTGCTTCCTGTGTAAGGCAGGGGAGAGGAACAGCGAAAAGAGACTCTCCCTAGAGTCTGAGGCTGAGTGGCTAAACACAGCACAGCAGCAGACTCTCTGCCCAACCAGAGATAACGGCCAAGGCCCTGCAGGATGGAGGACACACCGTGGTGGAGCTCTGCTGCCCCCTAGTGTCCATGACACCAAACAAGCATAACACACCAGACAGCAGCCTGCAGCTGTGACTCCAGACAAGACAAACAGCCAGGGAAGCCACTCACTGGAAGCCAGCCAGTCCTTTGGAATCACAGGCCTCTAGTGGTAACATCTGCCCAGGAGCAGGTACTCCAGTCCACAGATGGGCACACCCCCACCCCTCACCATCAGAAGGCCAATCCTGGAGCTATGTCTCAGGTCTGCAGCCCCCATATAGGTTACCCCAGTTCTGATGACAAAGCACCCTATCCCTCCTAGTGAGCAAGAGACACGGTTAAGAGGGTCCCAGCCACACAGGCCTCCTGTGTCCTCTCGGGTGCACCGTGGGTTCCATCCCAGGCTCTAGACTTCAGGTGAGCAGCCTTACACCAGAAAGCCTATCTGCTTCCTTACTCTTGGCCACCTCCTGAGAGAACCCCATCCAGGGCCATCTTGTTAGAATGGCCCATGAGAACTCCATAGGCCACAATTAGCTCATACAATCCCACAGTAGACCCTGGGGCTGGTAGGCACCTGTGGAGTTTCAAACCAATCCTTGCTGATCCCAGACAGTCCTGGGGTTGGTTATATGTGGGAAAGGGCACAGGAAGTGGAAAAGGACACACGAGCATCACCTCAGCTCACTGGGCCATGGACCGAAGTGAGGGGCCCTGAGCCTTCAGCACTCCTCCTCCATGAGAAATCAGAACCTCAAAAGCCTTTGTGGAGAGAACCTGCCTTACTTAAAGTAGATGTGAGCTTACACGTTCACCCCTGAAGAATGAACCAGGGAGCACAGCCCAAACTCAGCCTGTGCTCTACCGCCAGCTGCTGGCCACACCAACTGACCCAGCCTGGGTCAGAAGCAGCTGGCACCAGGAGAGCTGGTGGCATGAATGCTATGTGTCCTCCTACAGTACACTCCTCCACGAGTCCAGGCCCCTACTGACCAGATAGATGACTGTGGCCAAAGCAGGCTTTCCTTCAGTTGCCATAGCACACATCAGCCACCTGGGCCACGCTGGACACACCCTGAGCCCCACAGTTGCTCAGAAAGCCCAAGAAGGTCAGGCATTCCGGAAACCTCAGAGTCCCAAAGTCCCAGGCAGAGGAGGCAAGGTGACATCATGACACCAGACCAGCAATAACTGCTGCACACACCACCTAAAAACCGCACACGCCACCTGCTAACTGAGTAGCAGTAATCAGAGGGCAGGAAGGAAGCAAGAACCAGTTTGTTAGTAAACTTAAAAACAAGGTCCAGGTCAGGTGAGGTGGCTTATGCCTGTAATCCTAGAACTTGAAACTCTAAGACAGGGGATTGCCTCAAGTTCAAGGGCAATCTGAACTACAAAGTATGACTTTGTCTTTAAAAAGAAAAAAAACTAAATGATTCTAAACCAGATCCCTGTTCATTCTGGGTGTGTGTGAGGCTGTGTGATCAATCATTCAAATCCCCAGCACCAAGGATGAGAGCCGATCTTTACAGCCTCCCCCTCCCTCTTATGGCTGTCCAGGGAGATGTTCACAGCTCAGCTCAGACAGCCACAAGCTCCAAGGGGCAACCCCACCAGGGGCACAGAACCCCAACTCACATTCACACCAAAGTCTGGTGAGGTAGAACTCCAGATGGCTCCAATACTGGCAGCAGCCAGCATGGCCTCCACGGCATGTGCACTGTTGGGTAGATAACCTGTGGGAGGGATGGGAGAAAGCCTTGGGTTGAGGGAGTCAACAGTCTTCCAGAAGTTTCCCCAGGAGGCCTCAAGTATGTGAGAAACAGAAATGCCAGCACGTCCTCTCACCATGCCTCCCTCACTAGTTTACTCTCCACGCTTGAACCAGAGTGACCCCCTACGGCCTCCGTAGGCAGCTCTACCCTTCCGGGCTCTTCTCCCTCACTCTGCTCACTTCATGCAGCCCCTCATGTGTACGAAGCTTCTTCCTCCCCCAGGGCCTTTTTGCACAAACTGTTGTACTTAAGCATGCCTACACACGCAGCAGGCTCCCACACTCAGGGCACACAGGTCCTTCAGCTCTTACATCACAAAATCCTTCCTTAAGCTAGGCACTTAAACATGATGGCAAGGCTGGAGAGATAGATGGCTCAGCGGTTAAGAGCACTGACTGTTCTTCCAGAGGACCTAGGTTCAAATCCCAGCACCCACAAGGCAGCTCACAACTCTCTGTAACTCCAATGTCAGATATCCTCACACAAACACATATGCAAGCAAAATACTAATACACATAAAAAATAAAATGTAAAAAAAAAAAGAAAGGAAAAAAAAACCCACAGTGGTACTTCCAGAGTACTTTATCGGCCTGACCATGTCTGTACTACCTAGTTAATATTGTGGGGTTCTCAGGTGAGGGCAAGGACTTTCCGTCTTCATCTTTGTTTTTCCCAATGTGTTTCAGCACACTCCACAAACACTAAGAAATGTTCTGTCTGGCAGATGGGTGAGTGGAATGAGAGAGGACAGGTGAGCACACGCACAGGGATTGCTGTGTGTCACCCTGTGGGGAAAAATGAGTGGAGGCCCCATCACCAGGGAAGTTGGCATCATGCAGGGAGGCAGAGAGCATCTATGGCTGGAAGGATCCCCATCAACAAGACAGACAGTGCCAGTGCTCTGGGAGAAAGGACGTCATCACGGGCCTTGGGAGAAGGGCCATGGCCAAGCGCCCATCTTAGACCCCATGACAACCTTCTCCAGAAGGACACAACAGTCTGGACTCTGCCTCTCTAAACTTGTGTGTTCCTTGATGGTACATAGGCACTTGAAGGGCAAGACTCAAACACCATCCCCTCAAGAGTCCACCCATGCCTGGCAGGTGGCAAGGGCCACTACAGAAGTGTTCATTTGCTTGTGAGCAGAACTGAAGAGTCACTGTTGCCACCCAAAGGAAGCTGAACTTACTTGGGGGGGGGGGGTCCAGTCAACTCCTTGTTAACACAACAAGCAGCCCGCCCTCCTCCTAAGCCAATCATTAGGCCTCCTTTGGGGGCCATATCACATCACAAGCAAAAGAAAACAGCTGTGAATAGTTTAACGCACCTCCTCAGCCCTGCAGGCACCTGTGCCATTTGATACTTAAGTCACTCTTCACGTGGAACTATGGTCAGGGCAGCAGGAAGCTGACTGAGAGCCACAGGAGGGCAGGCCAAGAGCCAGCCTGACTGAGAGCTCTGGCCCCTTGAGACAGTCTCTCCAGCGAGAGCCCAGCCCCAGGGTGGGTCTCAAATGTCCCTAGGCACCCCTGGCCTGGCGCTGTGTTACCTTCTCTCAGAAACAGCTGCTGCAAACAGACTTTTACAAATGCAAAAGAGGGCTGGCTCATGGCTCAGTGGTGGAGCCTTGCCAAGCATCGGCCCTGAGTTCCAATCCAGCACCACAAAACAAGCTGGTGGGAAGAAAAACAAGAATAAAAAAAGGCAGCTAGGCAATGGTGGCGCACGTCTTTAGTCCCAGCACTCAGGAGGCAGAGGCAGAGGCAGGCAGATCTCTGTGAGTTTGAGACTAGCCTGGTCTACAAAGTGAGCTCCAGGGCAGTCAGAGTTACAAAGAGAAAACCTGATTGGGGGGGGGGGGGAGGGAGAGAGAGAGAGAGAGAGAGAGAGAGAGAGAGAGAGAGAGAGGAGGCTTCAGCATTGTTTTGCTCAACTTCAAAAAGCAACAGCTTAAATGGCCAAAAAGGACACAACAAAGGTGAGATTTCATGCTTGAAAGCCTGCACTGGCTGCATACAGTGATATGGGCACAAGGACCAAAGTTCCAGGCCAGCCTGGGCCACATAATAGGAGCCTGCCCCCAAATACAAACAAATGAAAACCTCAACTGATTGACTGCTGGCCCAGTCCTCACACGCATTCACCTAGCAGCTATTTATTGGATGCCAGCTGTGTGCCTGGCCTTCCACAGCATGTCAGGCCAAGAACGGAAACAGCCTATCTTCAGGGACAGACACAGAGCCCGTCCCCAGAGAATGCAGGGCAGACAAACAACATAAAGATGACATCAGAGGCCGTGAGCCCACAAAGAAAAGTCAAGCTGCTATTGGAGACCAGTGAGAAATCTGCCAAAAGCATTGATTGCCAGGGTGGCCCCTAAGATGGTGTCTGTGCATGACAGGTGCAGTGGGGAAACACAGAACCCAAGTGACAGAGCGGGGTGAGCTGGCACATGCCTTCCCTATCAACCAGCACAGGCTGCCCTCACTCCATGCCCTGCCCCTGCCCACCATCTAAGGAGGAGCTGCAGGGCTCGGGGGTCAGCCCTGGATCTGCTCCCTGTGCTGTAGCACAGACCCGCCCTCTGCAAACACACTGGCAACTGCTGTCAGCTAGTCCCCTCGGGAGAGGCACACCCTGCCAGAAACGGCACGTAACTACTCAGATAATCACCCTGGCCTGTGGCCTTGTCCAACTGTGGGTCAGGAACTGCGCCCCAAGCTGCCCTGGAAGAGTGGCTCTCCCCAGGCACACCTTTCCTGCCATTAACTGAAAGAAGTTTTTGGGTGAAGGACAGCTCCCACAGGCCTTCCTGCTGCTGGGAAATCAAAGTCAAAGGAGAACTGGAAAGTTGGTTGAGCTGCTCTCAGCAGGGAATACGATGCCACCTGAGGGGACAACGGGGTGCAGCGATGGTCAAGAGAGACACCAGGCCTGGTAGCCTGCAGATTCCAGGGTACCTCATGAACAACAGTCCCCAACAAGTGCCTGGGCCCAAGCCCAGAGACTCTCTCTGCCCACTCCTACTGTGTTAGGCTTCTGTACATCTTTTTCCTGCCTTATGGTCAAAAATGTTGAGAGGCACTGAGAAGGAATACGGCCTTGAGCAACTTAGGTTGAGGCAGGGAGAGGTGGAAAAGACCACGACAGATCAGTGCTGGTCATTTGTCACAGTGCCTTCATTCCTACAGATGCTTTGCTCTCGCCAGCCACAGGGCCTTTGCACAGGCTAAGCCTGCTGCCTGGCTCCCTTTCCTCCTTCACAGTGCCCCACAGCAGTGCTAACTCCTACATGCCTCTGTTAACCCACCAGCTGCACAGGCCACACCAGGACACCCTTGCCCCTTTCTGCTTTGGAAAAACAATGAAGAGAATTCCTGGTCCTCACAGAACAGTAGAGTAGGGGAGTCTCGCTTTATCTTTCTTTGTCTTGTTGTATGATGATACTGGTTTTGTTTTGAGATGTGGTCTCCCTATGTAACCTGAGCTGGTGTGGAACTTGCGATCCTCCTAACTCAGCCTCCCTAATTCTGGAATGATGGGTGATTCACCCAGAGCTCATTCTGTAATTCACTGTGAGTCAACTCCGGCCTGAGTAAATGGCTGGAGTCACACAGGGGTGTGCTCTACACACAGCACAACTTTTTCAGTCAAGTCTCTCCATCTTCTTTATTGCTGGTGTGGCTTGATTTGTTTTGAGTTTGGTACCAGGGATTGAACAGCACTAAAAGGCATTTACCAAAGAGAGAAAGGGAAGGAAGGAGGGAGAGAGGGAAGGAGGAAGGGAAAGGAAAAGGGGAAGTAGGAGAGAAGGAGAAGGAAAAGGAAGGAGAACAAGAAGAGGAGGAGGAGAAGAGAGGTCCTTACCGACTACACGGTCCCCTTTCTTCACACCCATCTTCCTCATGGCTGCTGCAAACACAGCCACCTGCTGCCGCAGCTCTTCAAAGGTCACCTTCACGATCTCCTCTCTGCCTTCCCCTGAGAAGAGAACAGGACAGCTGAAGCACAGGCCATTCAGGGAAGGGGCCTGAGTCAGCCAGTACAGGAATAGAGGAATAGACAAGGGAAATGCAGAACAGGCCCAGGGTGAGGCCACTCCAGAGGAGAGCCGGGCCTCGTGGAAGCCAGGCTTCCATGCTCTGAGACCCCAAGGTGGGATCCCCCAAGAGGAGATGCTGATGAAGGCAGGAGAATCCCACAGTCCTAGAGATTATATTATACAGAACAAGAATGCAATTCTGAGGTCGTCAGGGAATATGGAGATATGTGTGTGCATAGCTGTCAACCTTGATACTTCCCAGCACTGCCACTACCACATGTCTGTCACCACAGATCCATCCTGTGGTCACATACCCTGCATTGTCACCTCTGCCCCCAGGCATCACCAATCTGCTATCCATTTGAATAATAAAAGGACTGGGCTATGCCCACCTGTAATCTCCACTACCTGTCTCTCAACAGAGGAGCCCACGAATGTCCTCTGTGCTGAGAACTGTTCTGAGACACAACACACATGCATGCATACACACACACACACACACACACACACACACACACACACACACACACACAGATATGCCCAGCTTAGCCCAGCAACAACTCTGAAGTAGATGCTATCGTCTGTCCCACTTGGCACTGCAGAATTAGAGAAGCTGAGTAACTTACCTAAGGTCACACAGCAACAGCTTATGGGTGTGCTGCAGAATATTAGATTAAAAAATGCTACATTCGTGTATGCTGTGGACCATTTGTTTAACAATGCAAAGATGTGTTCCATTCCATTGTGTTGCATTTGTTTAACTCTGTGAAGCTGTGTTACTCTACCTGTCTAAAACACCCGAATGGTCTAATAAAGAGCTGTACGGCCAAAATAGCTAGGCAGGAGAAGGATAAGTGGGGCTGCGAGGCAGAGAGAATAAACAGAAAGAGAAATCAAGGAGACGGAGAGAGAGGCCACCAGGAGCCAGACACACAGCCAGCCAGAGTAAGAAGGAAAGAAAGACATACAGAATAAAGAAAGGTAAAAAGCCCAGAGACAAAACATAAAGGAAAATGGGATAATTTAAGTTAGAAAAGCTGGCTAGGTGGGGCTGGAGAGATGCCTCAGCAGTTAAGAGTACTGACTGCTCTTCCAGAGGTCCTGAGTTCAATCCCCAGCACCCACATGGTGGCTCACGATCATCTATAATAGGATCTGATACCCTCTTTTGGCATGCAGGAATACATGCAGAGCACTCATACATAAAATTAAAAAAAAAAAAAAGAAAAAAAGCTGGCTAGAAACATGATAAGCTAAGGGCAGGCATTCATAAGTAAGTATAAATTTCCATGTATTTATTCAGGAGTTGGGTGGTGGACCTCCAAAGAGTAAATTAAAAAGAAAAAAGAAAAAAACCAACAACATGGCTGGGCTTTGAAACCTTCATTCAAGCTCACTTAATCCTACACCAAGCCCAGTGACCAGACCCCACCCCCAACACTAATGATTAAGTAAAAAAACTTGATAAAGATTAGCCAAGCTAGAGAGACTAGAAAGCCAGAGCAGGACAGACACTAGGCATGTGACGTTAAAGGGCACAGCACACTAGATCCTTTTCAGAAGCATTAGCCAAGCCCCTGCCATACCCCAGTGGCTCTCACTGGTTGTAGATGTTGGCACTGTCCAAAAATATCAAATGCTAATGAACAAAAAGATAATGGCTTCAGGAAGCTCCACCTACTCCACTAAAGCCGCCTTCTCTCTACAGTAAGCTAACAGCCTAACTGAAGAAGGGACAGTGTTATTACTCAAAGGTGCACAAGCAGCCACCTGAAACAACTCAAACTCTAGCATGAGGGTGTGAGCTGCCTCTGGTCTCCACACCCACACACAGGTGCACCTGCACACACATATCTGCATACAAGTGTACCTGCACACTCCTTAACGTGCACACACCATTACAAATCACTCACACACACACACACACACACACACACACACACACAAGAAAGTCAGAAACAAGCAACAGTTGAATCCTCCCCTGACCAGCCCTCTCCATCTCCCAGCAGAGGGGTTTGTTAGGCTAGGAGGGCATATAACAATATGCCAATATCCATTCTGAATCTAGTCAGTACCCTTCCTGCAGCCCCTTTACACCCATAGGGCCACACACATTCACCACCAAGGCCACCCAGGGGACTCACTGGCCACATAAAGGGCGACTTTGTCATTCTCCTTGTAGCGTAGGAGGTTCTCAGCATAGTTGAGGCGGCTGCCTCTGAACCACTCAGGGACATCTGCAATTCCTTTGGATGCGTCCACCACCTGTAGAGGGACAGCAGAAGGGAGCCAGAGCCTTATGACATCACCCATACACCAACGCTGACCTGTGCAGACACCACGGCCCTGCACCCAGGGAAGTCACCCCCGGAAATTCTTACAACAGAGTTCACTGAACACCTATTTGTGACAGTTGCTAAAGAGGAAGTAAAGGAAATACGGGAAGTGGGGGAGTTCAGGCCTGTTATTCCAGCACTCAGGGTGGAGGCAAGAGGACTTAGGAGTTTAGGGCCAGCCTGGTCTACAGAGCGAGTTCTAGAAAGCCCGGGCTACACAAAAAAAGGAAGGAGCAGCGACTCATGGAACTAGGGCATGGTTCGGTAGCAGAGCAGATGCTCAGCATCACGTAGTCCCTGGGTTCATCTCCAGCACAAAAGAAAATCAGCAGAGAGCCCTGGCCCACAGACATACCAACACCAGGAGTCAAGCCTGAGGCCCTGCCCCACCCCCACCCCATCCCATGATTCTCTGGGAAAATGGCTCTGCCTTTCCCCTGGTGCTGACATCACACATCAGCCTTACAGGAGGCTTTGCTGCCAACAGGCAGTGAGATGTGCTTCAGGTACGGGACGCTTTCATTTTATGGACCACCGAGGGGAGATAAAAGTTCTCTGCAAGGTCCTCAAACTCTAAATAACTATAACAAGGATGTGCTTATACATCTCGCTGCCCATTTCAAAGCCACGCTCACACTCCATCTCATGCTACACGTAATCTGGAGGGGGTTATTTGTAGCCCAGGCTGGCTCTAAGCTTGCAATCCTGCTGCTTCGGTATCCTATGTGCTATTTTTTTTAATCTTTTTATTTTATAGTATGTATGGGTGTTCTGCCTGCATGAATGTCTGTGTACCATATGTGTACAGTGGAACCCTGTGGAAGCCAGAAGAGGACATCGGGTGCCCTGCAGCTGGAGTTATGGGCTGTTGTGAGCTGCTGTATTAGTTGCTGGGAATTGAACCCAGATCCTCTCCAGTCACTCCCCCCTCCCATCTCTTACATTTTTAATATGTGCATGTGTAAGGGGTGCTGCATGTAACATGTATCATAGCACGTGTGAGGAGGAGTGAGGACAACTTGTAAGAGTAAGTTCTCTCTTTCCATCATGCAGGTCGCAGGGAATCAAACTCGGGTCATCAGTCTTGGCAGCAAGCACCTTTATGCACTGAGCTGTGTTGCTGGCCCACACATGGGATTTTTAAAGCAGACATGATTCAGTATTCCCCAGTCAACATGAAAGGAGACAAGAGTGTGGTCAGACCCACTTACCTCATCATACATTCGTGAGTAGACGATTCCACTGAACTTCCAGAACTCGGCCCAGAAGTCTGAATATGACCGCACAGACCAGTGGTACAAGTCATCATAATTCCCTTTAAAAAAAAAAAAAAGAAAGAAAGAAAGAAAGAAAGAAAGAAAGAAAAGAAAAAAACAGCATGCTTTCAGTCTGGCCTCAAAGGGTGGCCCCTCAACAGGAGCCCGGGGTCTCAGAACCTCACATGCCAATGACCCAGTGACTCAAACACTCCTGAATGACTGGGGGGGGGGCTAAACCTCATGATACAAATCCTTCATCCATGGTCCCCAAGACAGCCCAAACTGGCCTCAAACTCTTAGTCCTCCAACTATAACCCTCTGGGGACTACAGAAGTACAGCACCACACCCAGCTTGGTATCTTTGTGTATTTGTGTGTGTTTACATGTGCGGGCCACAGGTCAACCACAGGTGTCATTCCTCAGTCACCATCCATTTACTTGTCTGGGTTTTTAAAAAAGCCTTTTTGGGGGGTGAGGGATTTTAAGACAGGGTTTCTCTGTATAGTCCTGGCTGTCCTGGAACTCACTCTGCAGACGAAGCTGGCCTTGAACTCACGGAGATCCACCTGCCTCTACCTTCCAAGTGCTGGGATTAAAGAAGACTTATTTATTTTATGTGTATGAGTGTTCTGTCTGCCTGTATGTCTGTCCATCACGTATGCCTGGTGCCCATGCATGACCAGAAGAGAGGGTCCAGTCCACTGGAACTGGAGTTACAGACAATTGTGAGCTGTCATGTGGGTACTAGGAACTGAATCCAGGTCTCTACGAGAATTACCACGTACTCTTAACCATGGAGTGATGATCCCAGCCCCAAGCTTGTTTTTTGAGATGGTCTCTTACTGGTGCCTGGAGCTGGCTAAGTAGGTTAGTCTGGCTGGCCAGCAGGCCCCAGCTGTCCACCTGTCTCCACCTCCCCAGAACGAGGATTACAGGAACACCCAGCCTTTTTTATGTGGGTCTTAGGATCTAATTCAGGTCCTCATGCTTGCAGAGTATACACCTGAACCGTCTCCTCAGTCTCCCTGGTTAATTTTTTATTTGGGGGGATGGGGGCATCTAGAACACACACCACATAGCATGTGTGGGGGTCAGTGGAGAACTTCCAGGAACCTCTCCTCTCCTTCCGCTATGTGGATTCCGGGCATCAAACTCAAGGCATCTCCCCTAGCAGCAGGCACCCTTCCTTACTCTAGCTCCAAAGCCCATTCCGAAAGATCGTTCTCTCTGTGTGTGTCTCTCTTACCTCTCTGTCTCTTTTCAAGATGGAGTCTCTCTAGATAGACAAGGCTGGCCTTGCCTCACAGAGATCTGAGTGCCTCTGCCTCCCAAATACTGAGATTAAACATGTGCCACCATGCCAGGCTGTCTCCAGGTTTTCTTAACAGGACATATGTTCACTCAAAACTGACATGTGCACCTGGCTTGGGGGCAAGAATTCCAGATGACCCGCAAACTAAGACTAGGAGATAAGTTCAAGGCCAGCCTGGGCAACTTGACTGAAACCCTGTCCCAAAAATAAGAAGAGAGGATTTGAGATGTTGCTTAGTGGTAGAGGACTTGCCTAGCATTCACAAGGCCCTGGAGTTGATCCTCGAGACCAAAGTCCCCTTAGTCACAGGGCTCAGAGGTGAGAGAGAGGTGCGCAAAGCTGGAGGAGAGAAACTGTCACATGAATGGAGCCTGTTTTAGCCACTCCTGGAGTTTTCCAGTTTCACTGATGATACCCTACATGCAGATCAGTCCCCTAAGCTCAGGATAACTCGCTCTCTCAACAAGGGTGGGGCATCACCGAAGCCTGGAACTCAACCCCTCAGACTCCTGCCTCAGGGGGTGCAGGGGGCCCTGCAAGAGTAACCCAAGCATGTGGAGGACACCCACAACAACATCCATCAACACAGGCATGTGAACTCAGTGCTTCAGAGACCCTGTCAACCTCTGCAAGACATCTGGGGGCCAGAGGGAGAATGCAGCAGGCATTCCGAAGATATCCGAAGCCATCCCCAGCTCCCCTCTGCAGATCCTGCCCAGTTAAGTGGGAGCTGGATATGGGAGCTGGGGAGGCAGCTCAGAGGTTAAGGCGCTTAGTGCACAAGAGCGTACAGCTGCAGGGAGTACGGGGGAGGGAGGAGGGCGGGGGGGGGGGGGAGCAGGTGGCAAGGCAAGAGAAGCAAAGTGGAGATGCAGAGACACTGACAGCCAGCTCACAGGTGGGAAAGCCAGAGCAGAGCTAGATGTGGATTTATGCAGCTCTACACTCATGGCAACAAGATCTCAGCCCCCTCCAGGCCCCAGGCAGGATGTATACAAAGTAGATATAGCATGCCAGCAAACTGCAGGGTTAGGGAATTTACAAATGTTGAGCCAGAGCTGACCTAGTGACTTTGCTGGTCAAGCTCAGACAGGCCACTCTGCCTCCCCAGAACCTAGTTTCTCTCGTGGGTCACCTCAAACTTTTGGCAAGAAGCTACAGATTCTCCCACACCAGTGCAAGAATTACTCAGGCTCCAAGTCGGGCTGGACAACTCAGATTAGCTACCCATTCTGCCACTTCTGAACAAATGGCCTCGGACAAGCTGACCTGCCTCTGAGCAATGGCACTGTTGTGATGGCGGTGACTGTGGCTGTTGTGCAAACCAACAGGACACTCGGCTTAAGAGCACAAACACCTACATTCAGCTGTCCACATTCAACCCCTGCCACTGGAAGTGACCTCAGACATCACTGACCTCCTCTGAGCCTCAGTTTGTGGTACTTATCCCGAGGGTCACTGTGAAGACCTAGGAAGTGCCCCAGAACAGTTCCCAGCAAAGTAAAGGCACCTAAACCATCCGTGGATGTCAACCCTCCACTTGCGTAAAGAGCACACAGGGCACCTCAGTAGTATATATTGAGCCCATATATACATGACCTGTCAGCACAAGACTTAATATGTAGTAGTGTTGCACCTCAGTCTAGGCAGGCAGAAGGCAGCACAAGGCTGGGGTGGCTCCCCTGGAGAGGCAGCTTTAGGAACCTGTGGGAAACAACACTAGCCAAACAGGCCCCACAGCTCCTCTCCCTCCCTCGGGCTTAATCAGCTGGGTCCTCACAAATGGCAGGCTCTGGATGCAAAATGCATCCCAACTTGATAAAACTGCCTACACACCAGAGGTCTACTCTGAACACAAAAGTGGGTTTAGGCTGGCCCTGGTGGCTCAGGTCCATGATCCTAGCTACTCAGGATGCTGAGGCAGGAGGATCAAAAGAGCCAACCAGGTCTACAGAGCAAGTTCCAAGCCAACCTGAACAATCTTTAAGACTTCGTTAATCCCAGCACTCAGGAGGCAGAGGCAGATGGATCTCTGAGGCCATCATGGTCTACATAGCGATTTCCAAGATAGTCAGGGCTACATAGAGAGACCCTGGGTTTGATCCCTAGGACCTAAAGAGAACAGAAGTATGCCCAGCAACATCATTGAGGGGTGTGGCCAGCACCACCAACCTGTGATCACAAGGGCATCTCAGCACCTCGAGGACCTTGTGTGGGAACTTTTCCACTGTTGTCCCCTACCTCAGCTTCATCATGGGGTGAGCTGGGAACCCACTCAGGGGCGCAATCCGAGGCCCAGGTGACCACAGGCGTATTTGGTTCAATGTGTTTAACATTCAACCAAGACTCTGAACAAGGTGTTAGCATTTACAAATCTGAGTTTAAATGAAATAAATACTGGAGTTGTAATGTTGTGTGACTGTAATCTCAACACTCAAGAAAGAGGCAGGGGTATCGTGAGATTAGGGGCAGCCAAGCGTGGTGGTAGATGCCTGCTTTTAATCCCAGCCCTTTTGAGGCAGGAGCAAGTGGATCTCTGAGACCTTTTAAGGCCAGACTGATCTATAGAGTGAGTTTGAGGCTAACCAGTATTGCATAGTGAGACCCTGTCCCAAAAGAAAAAAAAAAAAAAAAAGAGCGAGGAAGGAGCCTCTGTGTGCTGGTGGGGGTAGGGGGAGACGGTGCTAGGACTCTACACAAGAATGCTCACCATGCCAGGCAGTGGTGGCACATTTCTTTGATCCCAGCACTTGGGAGGCAGAGGCAGGTGGATCTCTGTAAGTTTGAGGCCAGCCCAGTCTACAAGAGCTAGTTTCAGGTCAGCTTCCAAAGCCACAGAGAAACCCTGTCTCGAAAAACAAAAAAAAAAAAAAAAAAAAAAAAAAAAAAGAAATGCTCACCGTGCATGAACCAGTAAGGCAGGACCAAAACAATATGAAAAAGCTCATGGAGCAGGGAGAAAAGAAGACAGCATTTGAGTTAAGTTAGACCTGAAAAAATCCCCAAACCTCAGGGCCAGGCAGGTGAAAGGGAAGGAGAGAGGAGGAAAGGGCAGAGGGAGGGGCTGTGCACACCACCCGTGGCTGCCACGTGGGAACATTGCACAGACGGCAGGCTCTGGGTTTCATATCCAGCCCCTTAGCTTTGCTTTGTTGTAACTGTTCAAGCAATCCTTGAACTCACAGCAACCCTCCTGCCTAAGCACCTGAGTGTGAGCCACACTGGCTGGTGAGCCTCCCAACTTTTAAATACAAGATAGTCAACAGAACTTCTGAAGATAAACCCCGGATGCACCAGCAGCCAGAGACTTAAAGGAGGGGGCATTCAAGCTAAGGGGTTACTCAGCAAACCTCCAAGTGACAGTGGACAGTGCTCAAGGCTCAGTACTGGGACTGCCATCTCTCCACCAGGATACCCTGGTCCTCTCATTATGTTCCTCTTACAGATGAGGAAACCAAGGCCTCGGGCAATGGGATGGCCCGTTCCAGGTCACACAGCTAAGAAGTGGTCCAGCCAGGTCCCTGCAGGGAGTCAGGTTACAGCTCCCCACTGTTCTCTTGCTATAGAGAAAGGGCTGGCCCACTTCAAAGAGCTGGCCTCAGTGGAGTGATGTCCTGAAGTCAGGCCCACTTCCGGACACTGATCGAGTTAGGTTAATGTTCTTCTCCAATCCAACACCCATGAACTGACCACACACGGCCTGCAAGCCCTGCATGTGGCCAGGCGCACACCTGTCTCCAGGTGAGAGGGAAGGAGGGAAGGGGAGGAGCCAGGTTAGTTAAGAAAACGACCCTGTGGAGGCTCCACTCCCAATTCCAGGCTGGGCAAGTCTGCAATTCCATATTCAACAAGGGACTGTCAAGGGCTTGGGAACCCAGCAACAACAAAAGACCTGCACTTCAAGATTACCCCAGCCGGCATGCAGGGTGAGCCATGCAGAAGGAAACAGGAAAGCCAGGTGCTGCCCAGACAGACACTGGGGAGGATACCCAGAGGACTGCTGCTCAGGGCGGGGGCCGGGAAGGGGGAGATTCGGTTAGGAGCCCCCTGAGACTGATCCTGGGAGCAAAACAAGTATTGACACCAACAGAAACAAGGGGGTACCTATGATTGGGGACGGGGGTAAAAGAAATGAAAATGAAAAAGAAAGCCACCATGAACTGAAAACCTTCTGCAGACACCTCAGAGAGCAGGCCATAGAACTAGCAGAGCCCTATGGATCCCTGGGAAGGGCATATGCAAAGAGCCTCACCCAGGAGAAGGGCTCTGCCCCACCCACAACCAGACAGACCAGGGTGGTGGCTGAAGGAGGGTCTGTCTGGGGCTCGGAGTTTAAACATAATGACTTAACCATAACCTTAAAGGAGGGAGGAGAAACGAACTGCGACCTTTTCAGGGACCTGAGATTTCAAGTTGGTCCCTGTCAAAGGCAGATGGAGGGAACCTGTCACATGAATCCCATCAACTCAAAAAGAACTGCAGATCAGACCAGAAGGAAATCCCCACAGGCTGGAAGTCAAGACCCCAGAAGCCACTTCCCAAGCAAGCAAGCCTACAAAAAGATGTGAAGAACCAGAGTGGGGTTGGCCACTTTCAGAGGGTGAGCCTCACCTACAGGGAGGTGTTGCAGCCAGGAGGGAGGTCTCTGTAGGAGGTGCTGCTCCCCAAACCAGTGAAGGATACACCATCAAAAGACCAGCACCTCCTAGAGGAAGGCCAAGAACCAGGGGACTCCCCAAACTCCAGGACAGGGACCCTAGCCATCCATTCACAAGAGGCCTATGGCAACAACTAAGAGGGAGCTCCTTTGAGGGGGACCCCAAGACAAGGAGGCTCCCCTAACTCCTGGACAGGGACACTGGCCATCCATCCATCCATCAGAGGCCTGTCCCAACTGCTAGGATAGACCTTCCTAGAGCGGGCCTCTCTGAAGGGAACCGCTTCCGGGAAGGCCCGGGACGGGGGTGTACTAGCCGCGTGCCCCGCACTCACCCAGAGCCAGGCCGCAGGCGGCACCCACGGCCGCCCGGAAGCCGTCCATCTGCGTGTCCTTCTTGCTGTCAGGCTCCCACATCACCTGGCACTCCATAATCTCCTCGCGCCCGAGCTGTGCCAGCTTGGACATGGTTGCGGAGTTGCGTGGCCGGGGTCTGCCGGGCAGGGACTGCGGGGACGGCGTAGAGCGCAAGGCGCCAAGCGACTAAACACAGCGCGGACTAACGACGGCGCGAGACTGAGCCAGCACCGGCGCGGCCTGCGGGACACCCAGCATGGCCACGCCCACACGCAGGCTTCGCCACGCCCCCAGAATCCACGCCCTTTAAAACCACGCCCTTCGCTGTAACCCTCCGCCGCGCCTGCAAATGAAGCACGCAACCAAAAAAAAAAAAAAAAAAAAGGTGCTCTCTTGCGCAGGCGCGGTGAGCATGGTCCACACCCTCACCTGTTGCAGACTCTTTTGGGTGTTGCCATCCTTGCGTTTGTTCGTTCATTCTTCATTCATTCACTCGTCATTTATTCAAGATTAAGTTGCTCCTTCTACAGTCACTTAGCTGCGGAGGCGTCTCAAGCAGAAAACGCATGCAGACAGATGTGTGCGGAGGAGGGAAGACCGCTAAAATGTGTGTCGTGTGCATGCACCCACAAGGATGTTGTAACGGATATTTGGGGTGTGTAGTGTAACAAAAGATAATGAGTGAGACCCCAGTTCCATCCTCAGGACTAAAAATAAAAGCGTTAGCTCAGGACATATTGGAGCAAGTCTGAAACCCAGCACTCTGAAGAATGAGGTTCTACTTCAGCCTGTACCCCAAAGCAAGACCCTGTAATTTCCAGCACTTGGGAGAAAGAGACAGGGGAGTCTGGGTTTCATGGCCATCCTTGCTACAGAGAGAGTTTGAGTCCACACGTTAATAAAGCCCCTATCAGAAAACAAACAAACGAAAGCAGGCTATGGATGTGGCTCAATGTAACTTCTCCCAGTGACTTTAAGGGGACAGGAGGGAGCTTTGGGAAATCTTGTGGAATGTTTCCAAACAGAATGAGCAGCCAGTGTCCAGGCCTCCATCCAAACAGGGACACTATCCCCTGTGGGGTGTGCACAGTTAACATTCCAAGAAGGCCCAGGTCTTTAGTACCATAGGACTTGGGATAGAAGACAAAGTCATGAAGGAAATGGTGGCAGTTGACATTGGTCCTGGGAAGCAACAGAGGTGTTGGCTTTGACTCCAGTGGAATGATGCCATCAGAAGTTTCCATCAGAGGGAAGGCATGCTCAGATTCTACTGTGGAAGGGACATACTGGATGCTAATAGTCTGGTCAGTCTATTTTGTGTTTTGCTACCTACCAAGTATCTAAAATACCCCCAAAACAAGCTAATTTTCTTTATTTCTCTCTCTCTCTCTCTCTCTCTCTCTCTCTCTCTCTCTCTGTGTGTGTGTGTGTGTGTGTGTGTGTGTGTGTGTGTGTGTGTGTGTTAGTTTTTTGTTTTTTGAGATAGTGCCTCACTATGTAGCTTTGGCTGTCCTGGGATTCACTATGTAGAGGAGGCTGGCCTTGAACTCACAGAGTTCTGCCTTCCAAGTGCTGGGATTAAAAGTGTTTACCACTACGTCTAGTTCCCACCTTGTTTATGGGGAGGGGTGTTTGTTTGTTTGTTTGATTGAGTGATTGATTGATCTGTATGGGTGTTTTGCCTGCATATATATCTGTGTACCATGTGCATGCCTGGTGCCCATGGAGGTCAGAAGAGGGTGTCAGATTTCCTGAGACTGGAGTTATAGATGGTTGGGAGCCACCATGGGGAGCTTGGAAATCAAACTTAGGTCTTCTGGAAGAGCAACCAATGCTCTTAATCACTAAGCTGTCTCCATAGCCTCTCACTTTTTTTTTTTTTTCTTTTTAAAGACAGGATCTCTCACCAGTCCAGAGTTCACCAAGTAGGCTACAGTGGCTGACCAACAAGCTCCAGGGATCCACCTACCTCCCCTCTCCAGTGCTGAGATTACAGATGTGTGCCACCACACCTGGACTTTTTCACACAAGTTCTGGGGATCAAACACAAGTCCTCTTGCTTGTACAATAGACAGTAGCCTGCTTAGCCACCTTCCCAGCCCCAGGGGTGATTTCTTATGGCTCTAAAACTGGGGTGTAAAAAAAAAAAAAATCTAGAAGCTTCCCCTGGTGTGTATCGTCCTGCTTTCCTCCTGGGTTAGGGGGAGAGGGCAAGATAGAACCTGGGGCATGAAGGAAGGAAGGAAACAAAGACAGAGCTGAAAGCCTACAGCCTCTTAAGAACCAGTGCCTTTAAATCAAATAATAAAAAATAAAAAAAAGAACCAGCGATAGCCTTTGGCCGAAGTTTCAGATGGTTGAGAGCTGCCATCAATTGTGAGAAGCAAAATCAGGTCCTCTGGAAGAACAGCAAGTGTTCTTAACCATTGAGCAATCTCTCCAGCTCTTACACCAGCAAATGGTAACCAGTTTCCCATCATCACAAACACACAGAAATTCCAACTTCAGCCTGGGTGCATGCTGCACACAAGTGGCTTCCAGATGCATCTCCCCAATCCCCACCCTGATGGGCACACACACACACACACACACACACACACACACACACACGTATATACATTTACATATATGTGCCCACTGCTGGGTCTATGTGCCTGTGCTGTCTCCAGTGTGGGGGGGGGTCTCAGAAGTATGTTTTTGGGGCTGAAGAGATAGCTCAGAGGTTAAGAGCACTTCCAGAGACCCTGAGTTCAATTCCCAGCAACCACATGGTGGCTCACAACCATCTACATGCCAGAACACTCTATATATAATAAATAAATAGATCTTTTTTAAAAAGTATGTTTTCACTCAGAAATTAGTTCACCTCAGAGAGACCCTCATCCCTACATCAGCGGAAGGCAGGTTCCATGAGGGCAAAACCCTAGTCTGGCTAGATCAACACAGTTTCAGTGGCTGCTCACTGCAGGGTAGCATGAAGGGATCCAAAGAAGTCTGAATTTTCCAGGAGCTTTACCAGTCATCCTGGGATATGCTAATGATAGCCACCTGATAACTCTTCAGTCTTTGTAACTCCTCTAACTTTCCCACCCAGCACAATGCAGCACCTATGAAAGATTCCTTAGAGTTAAGCTACAACCAGAATAACCAAGCACTGTCCTACATACTTTTTTATTTTGTTTTTTGAGACAGGTTTTCCTTTGTGTAGCCTTGGCTATCCTGGGACTCATTCTGTAGACCAGGCTGGCATTAAATTCCCAGAGACCACCCACCTCTGCTTACCATATGCTGGGATTTAAAAGCAAGTGCCACTAAGCCCAGCTAGAGGAAGACCATTTCTAACAGGATGATGTAATGTGTGAAGTGTCCAGCCCACTGATCTCCCTGAAGAACCATAGGTGAGGCATGCTTGTCACCATCAAGGACATTGCAAAGGTCCATATGGACCACTACAGTGACCTAGCTGGGGCAGGAACATACAGCTATTAATTGGACTTTCTCAATCAATCAGTCTCTGTCCCATACACCCTCTCTCTGTGGAATGTGTTTGATTGTGTGTTTGTGTGTGTGTGTGTGTGTGTGTGTGTGTGTGTGTGTGTGTGATCTGCCCATAAGCCTGTAGGCCAGTACACTGTGTGCAGATGTATTAAAAGTGTTAAAGACCTGGGCTCTGAGCTGTTTGGGATGGCAGACCCAGCTGCTGTGCTTTGGGGCAAGCACAGAGCCGAGACTAGACAAGAACAAATCTCTAGTACAAAACTGATTTTCCCTGAGGCACAGCACAGGAGGTTCTGATTCAGAGCCAAGTCAAAGCTGAGGCATGATGTAGGCCCTCCAGACCAGGCCAAAAGGAAGGCAAGACTAGTTGTGGGATGGTTTCCTTTCCTGATCTTCAAAGTGGGTTGCTTCACTCTCCCACTACAACCCCAGGGGCTGTGGAAACAGGGCAGGTGCCAACTCCTTCAAACCAGAAACTCCAGAGGCAAGGGCACAAAGCTCAGCCTCTCCTCCTCCTCCCAGCACCAAGCAGGGACAGGAAGACTCCAGGATTAGGAACAAGGCCAAAATAGACACAGTGCAAAATCCTGCAGGATGAATGACACACAGTGCAAAATCTTACGGGAGGGTGACCCTGGGCTGGTAGACAGGCTGGATGATTCTTGGGATGCTGAGCTCTGGGCCACCAGATAGAAAAATGTCTGTACTGTTTCCATTACAAAAGGGCCCAGGGCAAGCAAACCCCAGAACTATTATTATTATTATTATTATTATTATTATTATTATTCTCCTCCTGCTCCTTTCTTCTTCCTTCTTCTTTCTTTTCTTCTGTTCTTCCTCTTGTATTTGTTTGTTTCTAGACAGGGTTTCTCTGTATAATCTTGACTATCCTGAAACTAGCTCTGTAGACAAGGCTGGCTTTGAACTCACAGAGACCCACCTGCCTCTGCCTGCTGAGTACTGATATTAAGGGCATGTGCCACCATTTCCTGGCCCTTATTTTAGAGCCTGGGTTCTCATGGAAACACACTTTATAGCCAAGAATGACACTGAACTCCACCTCTCCTGATGCCAGAACAGGTAAGCAGTGCTACAGACTTACAACGGTGTTGCTTTCTTATCATCTGCCTGTCCCTCTTCAGCAACATCCTGACAAACGGCAGTGAACTGCACTTCTCCAAGCCTCCATCCAGAACCCTTCCTTCTGGCAGCACCCACAGCTAAGTGACAAACCATTAAAACTGCACCTAGGCAACACAGCTTGTTCCCAGGCTAATACCAAGGTGTCATTTTGTCTTCGTTGACCCTCAAGACTCTCAGTCAGCCAGCCAGCCAGGTCACTGGAAGCTTGCTCCAGACTGCTTACTTGCTCAGAGTGAGAAAGGTGACCAAATGGGGTGAGCACACACCCTCTGGCTTCACTTGGCTTTTTTCAAATCTTACGTAAGTTTGAAGTTCTCTCTGCTACAGCTTCCAGAGAAAAGGTCCTTACCAACAAAGTCTCCAGTGTCTTCTGCTGGCATCTGATTTGAAAGAAGGGGAGCAAGAGCCAAGGTGCATGATATATATACATTTGCTAACACGGTGCATCTGGGATTAAAGGCACCACCACCCCCGGCCTTCCACCCCACTTTTTGAGGTAGAATCTTTCACTGAGCCTGGAGCTCACCAATTGGCTCACCAATAGCCAGTGTTCCCAGGAATCCTCCTGTCTCCACCTTCTCAGTGTTGGGATTATAGACATCCATTACTATACCCAGCATTTTAAAAACGTGT